AAATCAGCCACTTTGGTCAGTGATGTGGCCCGCTACTACTCAAGTAAAGCAGATTCCCGTTCTTCAAAATCATCCAGATGGTTCTCTCTCATCCATGCAATACTGGGTGTTTGATGAAACTACAACTTCTGCTGTCATCAAGCTTAAAGACGATTGTATCCGCTTGTATGACAAAAGGGATTTGCTTCAATTTGGTAAGTGGGATATACATCAGCTCTCCATTCATTAGATCAAGGTGGCTGAAGACATTTTTGAGTCCGCTGCAAATGAGTACACTTCAATGGGTGCTGAGATTATCGAGAAAGAGATGTGGAACGGAGCTATGGGAAAATATGATGTGCTGGTGATCGACAAAAACTGAGTCCAAGCTAGCACCAGACCAAGGGGGAGATTGAAGGGTCCAGTTAATGGTTTGGTCTAGGCTTACATTGTATTTGTTCTTTTGAGTCTTTAAAAGTAATTTTGTGGGTTGTTTAGCAGTTTACGGTCCAAAGGTGAGTTTACGGCCGTAAACACATTTACAGCCGTAAACCCAGTTTGCGGCCCAGTCGAGTATATATAGTGGTGATGTAGGTCTTTGTCTAGTTGTTGATGCCAGAGAGTGTACGGTGTACTGTGTCGAGTTGTACCAGACGTTTTATGCTATAAACGTGTTCAAGCTTGATTTCTTTTCTTCTTCTACTTCTTTTGTGATTGTTTGTTGCTTGATCATTGATAAAGATCCGTTTCAGGACCTTACAGATTGGCCTACTACCTGGTGGACAAATTCAGAGCAAGAACATTGATAAGACTAAGAAAGGGGAATAGTTATTAGAAAGAAAACGGTTGAAGAAATGTTTGGCTTGCCAAGTGAAGGTTTAGACTACAACCAGTTGGTGGAATGTGATAAAACAGATCCAACGGTTGATGCATGGAAAAGTCCATATCCAGGAGGGAAGTTCAATAATATAAATTATGAGTAGAGGATCAGACGATCGGAGGTGGTAGATGACATGTTCAAGCTTAATTTCCTAACATTATTCATAAACACGTTTACGGAGACAGAGATGAGTGGGGAAAGCTGGATTAATTATTTGGAGAAGTTAGCAAGGTGTGAAGATATTTAAAAGATTGATGGGTGCAAGCATATAATAGATTGTTTGGAGAAGGAAAAAAACAAATGGAGGCCAAATGACGCAAATTGTTACTACATCGGTCCACTAACTCTCTTACAGGTAAGTAATTGTAATTATTTGCATTTAGATTTGTATTATATTTAATTCTCTAATGAGAATAAGTAATGAGAACTCATTAATTATGGTGTTGCAGCTTACGTATGAGGACAAAGTAGCTTTGAATGGGTATAATCTTCGTAGATGAACGCCATTGATAAAACAAATTGACTCAATGGATTTGGTAATGTTGGAGTAGCATGGATTGCAAATGGGAAGATTTGGAACATTGAAGTTTCATGGAGATGGGGAAGTGGATGTAATTGATGTAAATGATGACGAGGATAAGCCGGTAAGTTATTTTATTTTGTAAGTTTTGTAATTTACTTAAAAATCACAATAGAATTCATCAGATAAATGTGTAACTGGTTTTACTAACAATGACAGGTGGAGGTGGAAACAATTGGAATGCTATATTGCAGGATTTGTGATGATAAGAAGAAAATTGAAGATCCAATTAAGAAGGGGTTAGAAAATGATGAAAATGATGAGGAGTTAAAATGGATAGGTTTGAAAGGATGAATTTGATTAAAGGTAAGAAAAAAGGAATTATAGGTGTCGTGCAGTAGAATGATTTGTGAAGAAGATGGTGGTTTTTAATTAGGTTTTTTAGTATTATGGAAGTCGATGATCGTTTATGAACTTTGAAGTGTTTTGTTATGTTGGTTTTTTGGAATATGGTAATTTTGTTTGGATTAATATATGTTTTGGACATATTCTAAGT